TCCATGGATATAATGAATGAGAAGTAACTACTGAATAGAGTTGTTTAGTTTATTCAAGGAAGAATTGCAAATACATTTGTGGCACCAAGGAATAGTTAGAAAAAAGAAATTGGAACAGAATTTTTGAAACCGAAATTATAAAAAAAATGTTAAAGGCTATATTTTCATACCTTGTGAAAATGACTCCTGCATATTAATAATAAAACTCATCTCTTGTTAAATGGCTAAACAAGACTTCTTGTAAAGACATAAATGGATCATAAGCTAGCCCCATTTTCTTTTACATTACAGAAAGCAGAGCCTGGTTAAGTGGTAGGCACAACTGGAATAAAGCCTCTTTGCTCTATGTGGCTGCCCTGCTTATGCAAAGTAGCACAAAAACACGCAAAATATAAATGCATTTTCAATGCTAATAAAAGTATGTACAGAAAAGAATATAAAAAAAATCGTTATTTAATCAGTAAAAAAATAAGTTATTTAATAAAAGCTAATTTTGAATGATTTGTTTTTTTTTACAGTTTATCAACCCTTTGTGAGTAACTTAAAAGCAAAGCATATTTTGGATTGTAAGAATAATTCTTTCTAGTAAGTGAATATTGCATTAACAATTTCTGGGGGAAAATAATGATTTGTTTCAGATACAAGGGCTACTATTTAACCTGTATCTCAGAGGAAAACATGGATTCATACTTTTCCCAGAGGTAATTATGTGAATGTCACTCCAATTTCTCATTTCAAGCTGCAGTCCATTACATCACCTGTACATATTTAACAAAAAATTTTTTTTTTTAAATCAATAAAAGGTATTTAATTAAGGTAACAAATGTCCTGCTGATCCTTAAACATTAAAAAATAATTAAAAATCAACACATTACTTGACCTCATAATTTTAGTCATTTTCGAATTTTGTATCCACTAAATGACACAGAAAAGTACCTATCCTCTAAGATAATAGATAGACAGCAAATACGGTTTGAGTGAGTCTGAGTAAGTGCTAAGTGAGTCAGTAATGACCAATCAAAATGTCACTTGAGTTGCTTTACAGTGGCCCAATTAAATGGCATGGAGAGACATATTAAAAGGAAGGAAATCATTCCAGATATACTCAATTTGTTTTGAGACTTTTTTTAAAAAGTTTGGCTCAAATCAACAGATGCTCCAATTCATTACAATATATATATATATATATATATATATATATATATATATATATTATTTATTTAAAAATATGATTCCAACATGCTACATAAGAGGTCTCATGTTTCAAAACAAGAGCCTAAAACTTCAATATAATTATTTGAATTAAATTGAATTAAAGTAAGCTTTCCCATGGAAATTTTGATTTCAATTATGAATATGCTATTAAAACACGTAAATTTCAGAAATAAGTTATTCCAAAAAGAAATTTCGCTTGAAGATGGAACAGAGCTTACTTTAATTCAATTTAATTCAAATAATTATATTGAAGTTTAGGCTCTTGTTTTGAAACATGAGACCTCTTATGTAGCGTGTTGAATCATATTTTAAATAAATAATTATATTTATGCTCTACTTTTTGTATCGAAAGCACTATTTTTAAAAAATAATAAAAATACTAAAGAACTTTGGATTATTTACCTAACCAGTTCTTTCCTATTTTCTATATATTTTCACACACACACACACATATATATATATATATATATATATATATATATATAAAAACACACACACACACACAACAAGCAGAAGGAAGTTTGTTTTTTTTTTCTTCTTTTTAATCATTTCATCCCAAGCAAAGCAAGAGGTTACTGAGTGTAAGAAAATATGAGAAAAACTACTATTAAGGAGAAAGGACAATAAAAGAACAAAACTTAATATAACAATTGATACTGCTTTTAAATTTTTGAATCTTAACCCTTTCAGCCTTGTGTTCCTGAACAATTTTAACCCTTCTGCCTGAGCTCTCAAGTGAAAATTCGCAAATAATTGGTATGTTATGTTTATCCAAAATTCAACCGGTGACTGGGTATTAAATTATTTTTCTCTACCACTGGTAAAGTGGTTGTCAGGGTTTAAAGGGTTAAAGTTAGCTGAGAAGCAAGAAGCTGAGAGAGAGATCCACAAGCGAGAAGTGTGAGAGAAGAAACTATTAGCATAGAACTTAGTTACATCACACCATTTCAATTGTAAAATGATGCGATCTTGCCGCTAATCTAGTACTATGCTTAAAAATCATAAAGTCTAGGTATCCAACAGGAAAGTTCACCATAACAATTACCATGAAAATATTTATAGAAAAGGCACACTTTTAAAACCTATAGATGAGCTTTTTTTGCTTTCAACCAAAACAGATTTGCTTTTTCAAAAGTGTTGGATTTCTGAAGCCTTTAATATCTTCACTAGCACAATACTCTTGCATACTGTTATGTTCTGACAATCCTCGTCAGAACTGTTATATTCCGTGCTAAGGGAATAAATAAGTAACAACAGGTGGATACTAAAAGAAAGGTTTATTGTACACAACAAATACAATATGAAATACGGTACAGTTATACACACAGGTCAATCTAGTAGTGAGTGCCACTAATTGGAAGGTCAGACGTGCTTGTGTCTTCTTACTCACTCTCTCTCCCTGTCGTCCTTCATCTCTCATAGAACAGTTGACTTTATAGGTACTTACTACCTATAGTGTAAACATTCATGGGAGTGCTGGGTTATTCCATTACATCACATACTAAATACAGAATTATCTCCTTCAATTGTTTCCTTAATACACTGTTTATTTGGTAAAGCACACTTATTTTTAAAATAATTTTCCCCATGGCACAACTATTTTATTCTAAGAATTATGCAATATCAGAAAACATGCATTATTAGTTATGCAATCAGAAATGTTTATGTTCTCAATCTAAAAATTCCCATTGACCTGATTATTTCAAACAGGCACTTGTATTTAGAACAAAAATAGCATCTATCAAACATTGTGATTAAATTTCTATATGGACTAGTATTAGTACTTCTGGTTAGGCTCAAAATGTTATTCTCCAATTTTCTTTTTAGGATCAGTGTATAGAAAATGCTAAATTTAAAATAATCATAGCAAAAAACTACAAAGATTAAAATAGAAAAATAAAATTGTTTATAATCATTACTGATCTTTACAATGGTTACAACTCCTTGAGTCTCATGACAAACATCAAGTAAAACAGTTGAAAACAAAGAACATACGTAAGTTTCTGGGAGTTTGATAATGCCCACAAATATGGTTCAAATTGCTTCATTACAAATATTTCAGACAATACTGATCCAAGTATATATTTAACTAAAATCTAAAATCATCCTTTGTCAATAATGTCTTTAACCTATATCCTTCTGACATAATTTTCCCCATAAACTGCAACCATTTTGTTTAAATACATATTTTCTTGATTTCAGATGAAAACTTAGAAAATTTTCCAACATATTTCAGTGAAATATTTCAATGAAATTTTGACTTAACAATATTTTAGTTCATAATTATAGTTTAGATATATGGCAAAAAGAAGGTGTCAGTTTAAACTGGTGTCAGGAGGATTATACGTAAATCAAAATGGCCTTTACATTATAACTCAAATACCAAAAACAAGATTTGTACATCATGTCAAGATACACTTCAATTTTACCAGAGGTTTTTATGAAATACAACAGAACACACACCACACTATTTGAGTCAACAGCTTTCCCAACACCTTGATGAATAGCTGAATCCATAGCCTCTTCTAAACAAACAATGATCTACCCCAAAGAGCTGGAAAAATGAGTCATCTGATCAAACAAAATGGCACTGACCTTCCATAGTCTAGACTAGGTGAGGAACACTATCTAATAGCAGGATATTTAATGATACCCTTGTTAGTCAATTACAAAAGCTCATGAATGGCATCAGTACTGAATTGAGAAGTAATATAATGCAATGTTCCACTTCATTGGATGGTTACCATTTTTGTCATTTATTTGCATCACCTTGTCTACTCATGGTTTTCATATGCCACCAGTGTCTGTCCAGAATTAATTTTGTATTCTTATATCTATGTTACTGTTGCTAAAAGGAAAAACCTTGAAAATGCAAACTGAGATAGAATGACCCATATTTCTGATCTGGCTATAACAGCATTAAATCCTATCAACATCCTATAGTTAGACACAGCTACACTAACTCTTTGCCTATTACATCACCCATAAATCATTTAGCTAAATCCATTTCTACAAAGAGAGAAGGAAAAAAAACATCCTGTCTCTAATTTTACACACTTCAATTTATATATGGATGCATATTGTGTTTTATATATGTGATGGTTGTTTTACTAACTAAAACCTTTTAGATTTCCTTTGTATCCCAAGTGCTCATCAGAAGCAAAACCTTAGAATTTCATATATAAATGTTAGAATGTTTAAGAATTGTATAAGAATTCTTGTTAACATGATCAAAATTTCTAACATTCTTTTCTGTGACAGAGACTGGAATCAACCAGTAAACATTCAAAAACTTTTACAAAGTTTCACATTAAATATTCAAAATAACCTATGGATGTCATTTTTTTTTATGCCAAGTACATTCAGGACAGAGGCAATCATGGCTTTCCACAAATCCCATTTCTTTATTTTCTTGAATTGTCATGTCTTTTCCACCATTTAGAATTCAGAGTTGACTTGCTGCTGAACTAGATGCAACCCAAGACTCAAGAGCCCAGTCTACCCTGCTATTTAACCCATAGCTGAGACAGGGTGGAGAAGAGATTGATTAATTGATTTTTTTTTTATGGCTTAACGTTTTTACGGTTATTTAAAGCCAAAAAAATATTTTTTCATAATGATTTTCTGGTACAAGTCTTACTATTTAACCCATAGCTGGGAGGAGGAGAGATGGATTCATACCTTTCCCAGGGATATTTGCATGTAAGTGAATATAACAAATCCAACTGGAATTCAAAGTCTGCTCTCCAATTTCCAATTCCAAGCTGTTATCCATTACATCCAAGCTTACAGCACCTGGTATTCCCAAGCAGTCACTCATCTAGGTACTAAGCAGGCTCAATATTGCTTAACTTTAGTGATCAAATGAGGTTTCAGCATGAAATGGCCATAAGCCCAGGGTAAAAGAGATTTTTTATGTTTTAAAAAGGCATTTAGGTAAAAGTGAATTCAAGCAGGCAATGTGAGAATTTGAATTTGGATCACAAATTTCACTTTCTATATATGTGTAAAAAGAAACTTCTTTTTTGCTTCAAAAGGACGCATTTAAATATATTTTTTCTAGTGATATGATCTTATAAAAAAACACAAGAATTGGCTATCAAGTGACTGGAATATACTTTTGCCATTGTGGTTAATGTCAAGCTTTTGGTCAACAACAGCAACATGAAGCACTAGCAGACTTAACACATTTTCTGTGTTACAAAGAAATGGATACAGAAAAAAATATACACTATTCAACAAAAGTTTCAGGTCACTCTCTGGATTTCAAAGAATTGCTCAAAAATTGAAAGTTGCACATTTTTCAAAAATAATTTGTTTTGGGTCAGATGGATATTCTCTTACTCAAGGATTTTATCATATACTAGCCAAATTACCCATGCCTTGCTGTGTGTCACACATTTTTTTTTTGTAAGAAAATGATGATTGATTTTTCAATCATTGTTATAATTTGACGAGAAAAATGATGCTTTTCTGTATTACTCAATGATCTTGCTGATGTGACTGCCATCTTCCGGCTTTCTCTTTCCATATTTTGGATAGGAGTCATTCCCTTGTTCAAATCTAAATTTAATTTAAATCAAAAGAGAAAAAAAAAAATCAATGGGGGGGGTGCAAGTTTTGATCAAAATGAAATATACTTATCCAAGTGTTGAAGCATACCTACAGATGATAATGGGTATGTCCCCATTCAGATAAATACAGTAGTAAATACTGTATGTTGGTCTGCAGTTGGAGATTCATTGTGGAATTCACTTGGCTCACATCTAGCAGTTGGCTACTTCTACACACTGCTGGCGAATCTTACATGTGTTGTTCTTGTCCTAAGTATTATTGTTCATTACCAACCTTCATGTGATTATTCTATTCAGTAACCTTCCCTAGGTTACAACACCAAGTACCCTGGGTAGTTTCAGAATATATATGGTTATGGGGTCTATCTCCAAAAGCCTGGCAAGAGTTTGACAACAAACAGACAGAAGCTACAATTTTATATATATATATATATATAAGAGAGAGAGAGATTCAATAATAACAACAACAAAATTAACTCATTACTGTATAAATTTCCCTTAAAATTTTAGCTCTTTTTTTACCTTGCTGGCTGATGATAAAACCTGGTAGATTTTAAATTTTAGGTAATACCCTCTCTAAAAAAATTGGATGCCATGCACAATAGTTTTTGCATCTTAGCATAGTAGGTGTTAATTAAGCAGCTGAATAAAGTACAAAACTTACTAATTATTAAATCCAGAGGCTATCCCCAACCTTTTGGACTACAGTGTGTGTGTGTGTAAATATCAGTAACTGTAGTTCATTTCTGAACCGACAGTTCGGTTGAACTCTCTGCCTTCAGGCGGGGAGGAACCCGAAGGAGGCTATGCCGAAGGGCGGATTCTCTTTTGGGGAGATAAACCGACCCTGAATCCGTTTATACGGGTTCAATGGGCATATTTTTGGCCGGGCCCACAGGCTCGGAGATCCCACATTAAAAAGGCCTTGTGCCACATGACGCCCTCATGGGGGGGGTGACTGAATATCATCAGTAACTGATATTGGTTTATATTCATTGGGCATCACCTGGTCTACATAGAAGACAAGCATGGAATACCATCCCATCTGTCAGGATTTCTACAATTGTTTTTTTTTTTCTAGCATGATCATTTGTTTAGTATATATATTTCACACCCCACTCAACTGATGGAAGATAAGAACAGGTGGCAGCTAATAGGTAAGCAGGTAGCAAAACAAATGAGAACATCTAGAATCCCGAATACCATTCTTTTGTACATCCTCCACCCAGTAGTTAATATGTCAACAATTCTACCATGATATTTTAATGGAAAGCATCATAGTGAAATGCCCAGATGAGCCTTGAAAAAGAAGGTGACTGTCGAGTGGTTGACACAGTTAAGTGTCACAAAGTGGAGGATAGTAGAACAAGTTCAAATACATAACCAAAGCTGTGCTTCAAAGTATTTGTCGAAATATTAAATTCCTGATTCTACTTTTACTCTTAATATGTACCAAACGATTCATTCTGTTGTCTCCTTCAAGTATACAACATATAACAAAGACTGGGGTTGGTTTCTCAAGCAAATAACGGCATAAGCAAAAAAAAAAAAAAGATCTAAGTGCCAAATACATTGAATAACTCACCTCATTCACAAAACCAAATTTATTCACAGCAACTCAAGTTCAGGTAATTGCTTATTTTTATAAACAGAGATGTTCTCCAGTTTTTACTTTGCTGAGCAAAGAAATGTACAACTAGCTAAAAATTTATACTAAACTGACTTAGACAAAATTAACTGTCCACAATACCAAAAGCAACAAGTTTGAAAGGAAACTCCCATCAATATTTTCTATAACAGTGAGAAGTCTAATTTCATGAAAAAAAAGATGTACAAAAACCAATTGATTTGTTTTCTACAGCTTCTCAACCTCTTGCAGGTTATTTAAAGCCAGAAAAAAAATGGAGGTAGGAGATAACAATGATTTAGTGATACAAGTTTTACTAATTAAATTATAGCTTTTAAGATGTGGATTCTTACCTTCCACAAGAGTATTTGTGCCCAAGTGAATATAACAAATCCAATTGAAATTTGAACTTGGCTCTCCAATTAACAATTCCAAGTTATTATTCATTACACCAACTGCCCATCCAAGATTACAGCCCCTTGTATTCCCAAGCAGTCACCCATCTAGGTACTGACCAGGCTCAATATTGCTTAACTTCAATGATTATAGGAGAACTAGTGTTTCAATGCCATAAACTGGATTTACAAAAGAAAAAAAAGATTCAGTCAATGAATGTTGAATGTTTTTTGGATGAAAACTGCTAATTTCACCATTATTATAACTGTCAGTAAGGTTAATTTTGGCAACTTTATTCAATTTCCTTACTCTCTAGTGATGTGCCCCTTTCTTATCATTTTGACCTCATTCCAGAGAGTCCTTCATTCTTTAAGATTGAAAAATACTACAAAATACATCATCCAAAGTGTGAACACAACAAAAGAGTTCAATTGTGTTCAAACAATTGAACTCTTTTGTTGTGTTCACACTTTGGATGATGTATTTTGTAGTATTATAACTCTGAGAATAACAATCATTTCTCAAAATTATTGAAAGTATCTTTAGAGCCAAGTCATTTCACACACATGTAGATATTTATTCATTACTATAATCTTTCATCAAAACATTCCATTTTTATACATTCCCATATTTAATGACACACACAATGTCTATATAATTATTACTTATCAAGTTTGACAATGGGTTTTACAGGTGAGACAGGTAAGGTAGTTATAAAAGAATGACATGCTCCAGCGCTCATTCTCTGCTCTATTAACCTTTGTGGAAGGCTTAAGAAAAATAGGAACTAAAAGGAAAGTGGTCATAAACAAATCAAAGTGTTGGTCATCACTCTCTCTCTTCTCTCTCAAACTGTTCCAGTAAGTGTCACAAGTAGTGGCTAGTAGAACATTATATAAAGAATCCTACATAGCAGTGAGGCTCTTAGAAGTTCTTAGTTTCCAGGTGAGTCAGTTGTTGAGGAACTACATGACTTGACATGAAACGATATACCATATTGGTGATAAGGAACCTCAACCATTCAAGAGGGGCAACGGTCTTTATATTTCCAAGAAAAATTAGTGAAACACAACAGAAAGAGAGACAAAATTCTTTAGAATGAGGAGAGAAGGCTGAGAGAATTTAACATTCTCAGGACACATTGAAAGCAGAGGAAAATAGCAAGTAACCCATTTAACAAGTTTGTGCCAATGGATGGAGGAACAAGTATCAGCAAGAGACAGAAGGGACATAAAGAAAAAAGAGTAACAAAGAAAGCCATAATTTAAAAGAAAACACATAAGAGAGAGAGAGAGAGAGAGAGAGAGAGAGAGAGAAGGGAATGGCAAAATATATAGCAATAGGATAGGAACAAGTGAGTTCATTCTTTTCTCAAGGCCATCGATGCAAAGTGAAAAATGAACAGCATCAGCCAAAATTTAAACTCTATCCATTTCATCTATGTTGCAATAGTTATAGCTGTTGGTTCTAATCCCATAATGAAATAATTGCAAAATACTTTATCGTTTCCCATTTATAGGCAGAAGCACACAAATGCATTTCGGGATTTCTTCCTAGCCAATAAAGCAAGCCAGTTCTTGGTGTTATCTGACTCAGTCCTGATCTGTCTTGCCTTGAAGTCAAAACGCTATGTTTGTTCATACAAACTTGATGGTGTGTCAACCCCAATTCTTAGTTTATAAACATTTTTCCAGACAACTGTTGTTTTGCCTTATTACTGATAATTTTCCTTGCATATTTCTTGCTTTGTATCATTTTTTTACCCTGTTCTTTTCTTTTTCTCGTAATTATTTATTGCAAACACACTATAATGACCACTCACTCTATAATGGCATCCACACACTTGTGATTATATTAGTCTATTAAAGCTAGACTTAAGCCTTGTTGAAGTCATAAACTGGTGCATAAAATGACTTTTCTATCCAAGAGAATTCCAAATCTGATTAAAGCCTATTTAAAAAAAAAAACAATAATAATCATTGACATTCATCATCACTGACATAAGAAAGAGTAAAGCTCAATCCATACAAAGGGTAGATACACTAAGCTCCAGTTTATGGAAAAATTAATGTACAGAATATGAAAAATAAAAAGACAAATGTTACATCTATGAAGCAGAAGCATTTTGTATTTGCTATATGGTTGAATATGTACAAAACTGACATGATTTAAATTAGACTCAATAAGAGAATACATTTGTCTATAAAAGGCAACAGAAAACTCACACACACAAGCAAGCAAAAAGAAACATAAAATCTAAAAAAAAAAAAAGAGAATCTCCCTCTAGAGAAGCAACTGCCAACAAGGGACAGTTGGTCACCAATTCTTATCAATACAACTGACGTCAGAAGATAAGCAATCTAGAATGAAGTAAGAGAAGTCATGAGTTCAGCCTTGGTACATATAAAGATTTTCAGCAAATTGACCCCCACCCCTAACCATGTTCAAAATTATTCATCACCAAAAATTTCTATGATTTTATTTATCTTCATTAAAACTAAAACTATTTCTTTGGCATTGATTCAATTACCTATTTTTCAGAGACAGAAAAGAAAAATGGATGTGAATTGAAAAAATGTAAAAAGAGAGAAAGAAGTAAAAAAACAGAAGCAAAGAAAATAAGAGCCAGCAAAAAAGAAAATGAAACAGTGAATGGTCATAACCAATTTAAGGAGCTGTGGGGTCCAATTGGAAACTTTTTTGTTGGGACCCATATTCACAGCCATAATAATACAGATATAAATATAGTTTATTATAAATTTATAATAAAACAGAAAGTCATAAAAATGAACTTGAACACATTATTTAATTCAAATAAAAATATTTTTAAAATATCAACAGTAAAGACTAACAATTTTTTTTTATAGAAATCAAAACTGAAGTCATTTGTTTTCTCTATAAAAACTGAAATCTAGTATGTTCCAATATGTTGCCATTTGTACTCAACAAGAGTAGAGTAAATTAAGCAAGCACAGGGGCCCCCTGAAGTGCAGATCCCAAATGGGAGCAATGGATCCTATTGACTTAAAGCTGGCTCTATAAAGAAAGATAAAAGGGTGGGGAGAGAAAGAAAAATAGAGAGTAAAATAGGGTTTGGCAAACAAAGAGGTCAGAATAGTGAGCATAAAAGCCAATTCTGTTCACTTTCCAATGATGCCAGCCATTTGACCCTTACCCTCAATCGCTTCATCCAGGCTCCATATTAACTTGCTTGCTATTATTGATTAAAACCAGAGAACATTATAATGCTCTATTGAAAGCAGAAATATGAAAGCAGCAGGAAATTCTTTGATTAGCAAAGACTCCACTTAGAAGAGAAATTGCAATCAACATTCTATACACACAAGAGAACAACAAAAGAATGTGAATGTTCAGGAAATGTTGCTGTTATGGTAAATACCATACAATCACAGGAGGTCCACTATACTCTCCTGCCCTTAAAAGAAATCAGGTGTGAATCCTCGTTGACCAGAGCTGGGCGCAGTTCCTATTATTATATTTAACTTCTGTGAATTTCACATTACTTTTTACCATTTTTCTCAAACAAACCTCTCTTTATGATTGGTTCTTTTGACCTACTTTTGACAAGTCTGGCATAAGGTTATACAAAAAGCAAAGAAAAAATAAAATGAAAGAGTGAAGAGACATAACCAATTTAAGTGGGGTCCAATTGGGAACTTTTTTGTAGGGACCCATATTCACAGCCACGGTTTTTAGAATAATAGAGAAATAAATATAGTTTATTATACACTTTATAATAAAATAGTAAGATATAAAAATGCATTTGAATACATAAGTATTTTCAAACTCACCCCATAGATTTTGGAAAAATTATAACCTTCCTCTTGAATAACAAATGGTTGTTTTTGCATTATCAGGAGAGATTTTGGTTAACCTATCCACTGAAATGTCTCAATCAATAACAGACATTTAATCCAGGCCACTCATGAAGGATATCAATATTTGTTTTCCTGACTTCACAAAATCTCATGTTTTAAATGTGTTGCATTTGAGCTTCCCTGGACTCCAATCAGAGTTACTTCCCCTCTTGCTGGAAAGGAGCTGCATGCCCTTAAAAGGTCAGAGAAAAAGAGAAAATAGTTCTTGGCCCGTATATTGGCCATCTACTTGTAAACAAACCCAGATTTATTTGCTCTTCCAGCCAATGCCATTTCATAACACTGGGTAATATTATTAGATGACACCATGATAACCCAATGACCAAATTCCCTTCTCTGACCATCTGCATCTAGCTCCAAATAGAAAACACTCCATATATGGTGAGTGAGGTATACTGTCTGTCCGGAAAGTATCCAGCCATTTTGAACATCTCAGAAAATTGGTTGTGCAGCTTCAATTTAATTTGGTAACCCATCAAAGATGTAATTACTGCACATGCATGAATAGACACTCTTCTGTGGGGTTACCCAGTCAGCAATGAGACTGCAATCAGGAAGCTTGTTTACTCTGTGACCATTTCCAAAAATCTAGATGATCAGAGCCTGGTAGCTGATCCCCACTCTGAACTAGGTCTTAAAAAAGAAAAATAGATTGTAACATTCAGTACCTCCAAACCAAGATAGTAACATTCACTCATCACTGAACAGACCCTGAATTTTCTTCAATGATGATGAGCAGTATAATTTACTTTGAGAAGTTTATCATCATACCCTATTGTATTATTCATAATTCAACCCCTGGAGAAATTAATTTCTTTTTCTAAATACACATTTCATAAAAAAATCATTCATAAAACATCTAGTTAAAATTAACCAAGGTTCCCTGGATAATTATGGAAACTCTCTCATACATACACAAGTGAGAGAATAATATAAAAAAAAAAGAAAAAAGAAGATAAATTTTGATATTTCCTTTCTTGCAAAAATCTTACCTTGTCCTGCTGTAAGCGCCTTTTAACGAGCTTTGAACAGCAGACATTGACAGAATGGCGTATATGACAGGTGTTAAATTCCAGAAAAGACCTACTATCAATTAAGAGGACCTGAAAAATAAAAAATAAAAATGTTTAAGTCAACAAAAAATTTAACATTAGAGAAAATTTGGTAAATTACATTTCTGGTCATAAAACAAAAAAAAAAAAACAAAAAAAACAAACAATGGCTCATTATTTCAAAGATCAGTACTCCAATCTGGTAAAAAAAATGAAATCAACTGATTCCTTAACTGATAAATCTCTACGTTCTTGGTTTTCTTACTCTAAGAGCAAATGGGATAGTCAAGACAATTTGTAGATAGTGACTGTTCTGGAGCAGCTGATGAGATATTTTGCTGATATGACATCATTTAAAAATGTCCTGTTCTCAAATGGTGATTCTTCTATGTGCTGTGCCCCTACAAAACACTGGTGATCATGGCTCTCTGAAACTTCCTATCCTTTGTGGTTCTTAGTAAGGTTTGTCTTTTCATTATCTCTTTCACATTTTTACTAATTTTTTTTTTTTTTTTTTCAATCATTTCACCTCAAGCAAGGTGACAATACCACGAGGTTATAAAGAGTGAAAAAGCATAAGAAAACTTGAGTGATGAGAAGTGAGGAAAAGGGCAAAGCAACAGGATTTTGGAAGCGAGGCATCGTATTTAAATTTTTGAAGATTATAGGTGGCAGGGAAGCAATAATTCAGAAATGCGTCCCACAGGCGAGAAGTGCAAAGAGAGAAATTATAAAAATAGAACTGATGGCTGCATTTAGCTAGATCAACAGTAAAACTGTTATTGTGATTAAGTAAACATTTGTAAGCAAGTATCAAGGTCTCACATCAATTGCAAGTAATCCTATTCTACCTATATTAAATTAGGGGTCATGTAATACCTAGAATTTTATTTTTAAAAAAGCAATAAAAAAAATATAAGAAAAGAAAATATAATATTACTGTTTATTGTGTCATAAAGTTATACCAAACAAGACACATTTTGATTTTTTTATTTCTGATCTGACACGTGCAATCATTGTAGTGTAAAAAAAAAAAAAATAAATAAATAAATAAGAGGAAAACTAGTCAAATATTAACGATAATGTTTCTGCTAAGAAATTTGAACAAATTAAAGCAATTACAACTACTATTTAGGCAACAATTATTACATAAAGCTATTATAAAGTTATTACAACTACTATTTAGGCAACAATTATTACATAAAGCTATTATAAAGTTATTACAACTACTACTATTTAGGCAAAGAAAACTTAATCAAAAATTAATAATAAAAATTCTAGAGAAGAGTATAATGAATATTATGGCTTGTGGCAATGATACACATGGTCAGATGACAGTAAAGCATGTAGTCAAATCAGATCTGCATAATTAGTGGTTTTATGAATGAAAATGTATATAATAAAAAAGAAAGCAGGTAACCAGCAAGCAAAAGCATGTGGGGTCAGATATGTTCAGATCCTGCTACCTGGCCTATGCAGTTGTAAGTGGTAAGTGTTAAGTTAATTTGAAAAAAAAAAAAAAAAAAAAAAAAGACCTCATTCTTAGTTTTTCTTAAAGTTACAAAGAGAAACATTTTTTTTTTTTAATTACAAAATATTAAAAACACTAGCAAGAAAAAAGAAACCATCCTTTGCCAATTTATTTATCAAGAACAGAAAAACACTGGCAAAATGAAACCTGTAAACTGTATCCAGATCCTGACTTCTTTTAGATATATGCAGAAATTTATGGCATCGATAAAATATCTTTATTTTTAAAATTGTCTCAGAAAATGTTCAAACTGTTTTTTTCTTCAACAATTTTGTATTTTGTATTAAAATTCTAATATTAGGTTACTTTAACTTAAGATAATTTTTACTTTAAGTGTATTTTTCTGAAAAAAAATAATAGCAGGATTAAATTTTTAAAGTTTTTAAAGTGAACAAATAAAAAAAAAAATCTTACATTTATAAACTGTGTGTGTGTGTGCATTTTTATCAAAAAATGTTTAATATAAAAAATCTATTTTATATATATTAAAAAATATATGAATTTTTTAAATCTATTTATGAAAAACAAATCTTGAAATGATTTGGGCTATGAAAATTAACAAAATTCTATCACTTCCAGTAAAAAGAATCAAAAAGATTTAAAATAATATTATCTAAAAATATGTAAAAAAACAAAGTGAATATCTATAATCTTGAGAAACACTGATATGTAGATAATTCATTTTCTATCAGGTGCAAAAAATAAGAATAAAAAGTTAATTTGTACAGTATAATAGACAGATTATACTAAATTAAACATTTATAGTAAATGAATCAAAGTAAAACTTCTTATCATGAGTGTAACAAAAAGGGACCCAGTCACTTTATTTGTACAATGATAAATTTAAAAATAATAATGAATAGGGTTGAGTTAGTATTTATTTTTCTGAGAACTTCAAACATACAATGTAAACATATTTTAGAGAGAAGAAAAAAAAGAGAAAAAGTGAGGGAAAGGGTGCATAACAGAAGAGAGAAAGAGTACAAGGAAAAAGAAAGAGTACACAAAAGAGAGAGAGAAAGAAAAAGAAAAATAGGACAAATAGAGAAGAGTGAAAAAAGAAAAGAAAAAAGAAGTATTAAAAGAAACACAAAAATAACATAAATGCACAACATTATCTTATTTGCAGAGGGTGGGGGAGTATAGTTTGAAAAGATGAGTCAGCAGGTAGACAGTATTGAAGTGGGGAGAGTGCAATAAAATGCAACAGCAGGTGGAAGATTGTCAGGCACAACTGTGCAGCAACTGACAGGAGAAACAGAACGAAGGCGGCTTGGCACAAGTTAACAGAGCAGATCACCAGCAAAGACAGACAAGGAAATAAATAATAAATAGTTAAAGACAATGAATTTGGCATACACTGAAGAAAAGGAAAAAAATATTATGCCTGGTTCATTTTCAGGGATCATTATCCTTCCTTAATCTTATATATATATATATGCACGCGCCAGTAGCAGAACTAGGAATTTCCTGCACAACACAATTTTCAGGTGCTGAGTTAAGATTTTATTGACACCAGCATTCAATGTGCAATATTATATAAGATAAAATAAATCCTAAAGAGCCAGGAACTACCTATCTAGGTTTCACCTGAACGGATCTTCAGGGTAATCTGGCAACCAAGTATAATTATTTGTATAATATAAGCAATTTACTGCTTAAATTTTTTCCCACTTTGTCATTCATTTGCATATATATATATATATATATATACACACACATACATTAGGAAATGTATTAAATCTGACAGACTTTTTATTTATTTGTTTAAATGGTATTTTTTAAAATGGATACTCATATTTGAGCAGATCCTCTGTTTTGTCAGAGAAACACACATATTCTACTAACAAAAATTCTCAAATATTCAGGCCAGTAGATGTAAATAAATAAATATACTGTTTAATAAAAAATAAAAATAAAAACAGAATATCTACTCAAATATGAGTATCTATTTAAAAAAAAAAAGTTTAAACAAATTATATATATAAATAAATAAAAGTTGAAAAATATTCCATGTCATGCATTTTGGTCTTTAGAAGGACTTCGGACTAAAGTAGTGTTTTTGTTGATGGAAGCACTTGTTATATTCATGTACTGAGAGGAAATGCTAAACTTTTAAATATAAACTTTTTTTTAACCTGACAAACTCTGTTACAGTTTTCATCCTCTAAAAAGAGGATGAAAACTGTAACACAGAATTTTTTTTCACTTTGCCTAATATTGTTCTGATATATAAAAATTTATATATATATATATATATATATATATATATATAGGAGGCACAGTGGAGTGGTGATTAGCTGCTCGGTTTGAGGAATCAGAGAGCAGAGTTTGAATTCCAGTCAAATCCATTACGTTCACTTACGTGCTAGTACACTTGGGAAAGGTATTAATCCTTTTCTTCTCCCTCCAGCTATGGGTAAATACCCGGACAGACTGGGTTCTATAGCTTGATGGCAACTGGTCTAGGAAAAGCACAACTCTTAATTCAAAACCTGTGTAGGGTCGTTTTGGGGGCCTTGTGGCATACAGTGCACCAGGTCTCTGTATTCAGCCCTTCAAAAGTGTGGTTGGTTGTGCACAAAGCCTTTACTATAATCAAATCATATGTACTGGTGTCTCTGGGCTGCCAATTCCTAGGAAGTGAGCTGCTTGACCCTTATACATTGAATATGACGGGAGAGTCCACCATATATATATATATATATATATATATATATATATATATATATATATATATATATATACACACATACATACACAAAGAGAGAAATACATTGAAATAAATATTTTTAAGCTCCTCCAATACCCTAATTATTTCCTATTCAATGCAAAAAAAAAAAAAAAAAAAAAAAAAGGCTCATAAAATATCTAAAATTAGAAAAGCAGTCCTTCCTGAGAAACCCAACAAATCAAAATATATTTTTCTATTCACCAATTCCATCATGAGTACAATTGAAAAGACTTTATCTAAACTGAACATAAAATTTGTTACAACTACTTCTAAAATAATAAAAGGCTTAATACAAAACAAAATAAGCTAAAACTTCGAGGAATTTACTCCACCACCTGCAATAATTACCAAAATGAATATGTAGGAGAAACCTCAAGGAATGTAAATAAAAGATTATATAGACACAAAGGGGATCTTTTACAAAAAAAAAAAAAAAAAAAGAAAAAAAAACACACTAATTGCATTCATGGCTCACCATAATGAGACTGGCCATAATTTTGATTTTAAAAATACTACTCTAATTAAAAGAGAAAAGAATTTATTAAGACAAAAATGTTTTAAAATATTTTAATTGCAAGATCATCCACAGTAAATTTGTGTACTGTGTACAGGTGCTTACATTTCACCATTCTTGCTAGATTGTCTATTATTCCAGTGTGGGATATTTAATAACAAAAGTGATGAAAACAAGCAAAAACAATCTAAACAAAATTAGATCTCTACCCCCCCACCACCACCACCAAAAAAAAAACATTAAAATTCTCAGCATCTCCTTTCCTTCATGCA